ACCTTAGTGGGTGTAATGCACCATTTATGTCAGAAGTAGGCCCTAGAGGCAAGCCCAGTCCAGCTGTGCATATTCTAAATTCTCCTGGAGACAATTTAGAATTATGAGACTTGTCCATAGTGATGTGCTTCACAGGGGTGCAGATTGATCACTAGACCAAGTTCCCAAAAGTTGTCTTCTGGGCAGTCAACCTCATTGTTTGTTTACAAAGTGAAGATTCGCTAATAGTTGATGAAAACAGTCGCAAGGCATCCACAGACAAGTGCAGGGCTTCCTCCCTTGACGTGTACTTCCAATGGTGAAGCAGAGCATGTAGACCCATCAGTAGCTGAAGGGTAAAATACACATACATCTGTCATGGTCCATGTGTATGGAAGAAGAAAGAGACTGTGACACAGCAGACCTGGAAAGATAAAAGAAAACAAGTTATGAAAACTGCTTATGTACATACAAAAAGTAGAAACTTAGCAAACTAATATAAAGTAATATTATCTAGGAAATCCAATGGACATATCCCTGTATTGTGACAGTTGGGTTTTTGTATCCAAACTAGAGTCCATTTGGGATGCCTTTTCCAACTTTTCAAATGAGCCAGTCACCACTGTATCTTTGCCTGAAAAATGGTCAAAGATAGTGGAAGGCACAGTTGGTGATGCCCTGGTAGACGGCCACTTTGATAGGTTAACACATTATTATGATTATAAAAATTATCATTTTCATCATTATTATTATGATTATAATTATAATATTCTTTTATTGTTAGTATTATTGTTTTTTTGTTTCTATGATTGTTATTATTGTTGCTCTTTTTGTTTATTATTATTTTTATTATTATTGTTGTTGTTGTAGTAGTTGTTATTGTTATTGTAGTTATTTTTATTTTATTTATTTATTTATTTTTATTTATTTATTTTTTTCCATTTTTTTGTACATGATGGAATGAAGAATGGATGGGTGCTTTGAGTCACAAATCCTCTTCTTATGAAATTACACTGATCAGAAACCCTACTATTGCATAAAAAAATAACAGAGAAAAGGATATTGCCAACCTCTGTATATATTCTTAGTTGTAACTGTACTATTATTCTACTATTAGTAATATCAGCATTAGTTAATAGCAGTAGTTGTGAAAGTATTATTAGTAATGATATTTGTAGTATTGATAGTGGCATTACTAATAATAGTAAAAGTGTGTTAGTAGTAATAGTAATAGTAGTAGGAAAATTAGTAAGAATTGTAGTAGTAATAGGTGTGACAATAATTATACTAATAATTATATGGTGATTTTGAAGTTATATAATAAGAGTCATTGGTAATACTATTGATAGTTAGAGCAGCAATAGCATTAAAAGTGTTAGCAGTAATAGGAGTTGTAGGAATTGTAGTAGCACTAGTAGTAATACAGGATTTAAATCATTAGTTACCAGTTGTTTGTTAATAGGAAGTGTGTTAGTGACATCCTTTCAAGCTAATGTATTTCCTCAGCTGCACAGTACTTCTTCATGTGTGTGTTTCACAGAAAATAAAAACTGTTAGTTGTAAATTTGCCAGCTTACACAGATGATGTTATCGTAATTGTTATTTACTTGAAACCAAACAGCTGTATCCCTGCTCTCCATACAGGGTCTTACAAAGCAATTACTCTATTATTTGGGATAGAATCTTGATCCTTTGTTCATCTCTGCACTGAGGAGAGAAACAGACCCTCGTTCACATTATTGATGGTTTTAGAATGGCTGGAAATACTGTTTTATATATCCTTTTAGTTATAATGATGATTATTAATTTTACCCTTGTTGTTAGCAACATTATAATTCTCTGATGATGAAGAGTATATATTTCAAGTATATTTTAGTTTGTATAGTTGAGAAATAGATACTTTTTTATTTGATTTTAATCTCTTTCCTTGCCTGCTTTTCTTTCTTTCTCTGTCTTAACCTAGTTTATTATCTTTCTACTTTCTTGGTACTCCTGGGTCACCAGAGGAAAGTTACGGTAAATAAAAAAAATCTTTTCTTGTTTGATCTGCCGCAAGGAAAAGCTAGTTGACCTGTTTAGGAGCTCTGTTTCTTCCTCCTTCCTCCCTCTCTCCCTCCCCCCTCCCTCCCTCTCTCCCTCCCTCCCTCTCTCCCTTCCTAACTCCCTCCCTCTCTCCTCTCCCTTCTTCCCTCCCTCCCCCTCCCTCCCTCCCTCCCTCCCTCCCTCCCTCCCTCCCTCTCTCCCTCCCTCCTCCCTCCCTCCCTCCCTCCTCTCCCTCTCTCCCTCTCTCCCTCTCTCCCTCTCTCCCTCCCTCCCTCCCTCCCTCCCTCCCTCCCTCCCTCCCTCCCTCCCTCCCTCCCTCCCTCCCTCCCTCCCTCCCTCCCTCCCTCTCTCCCCCTCTCCCCCCTCTCCCCCCCTCTCCCCCCTCCCTCTCTCTCTCTCTCTCTCTCTCTCTCTCTCTCTCTCTCTCTCTCTCTCTCTCTCTCTCTCTCTCTCTCTCTCTCTCTCTCTCTCTCTCTCTCTCAATTTACCTGTGTGTCCCCCACTTCATGATGTAGGCAGCATTCTCAGAAAGGCTTTATTTAATTGTTTTTCCCAATTTTTTAGTTTCCAGCAGAGTTCTTTTAACATGGCCAAATCTTGCCTTGTTTTACAATGGAAGTGATGATATCCTATCAAGGATTTATTTAAATTATTTGTCATTTGAATATTATAATTACACAGTTTTTAGCTGTAAGGCTTTGGTGAGGATATTTTTGTGTTGACAATATCCTGGTGCCTTTGAGTAACCTGTTGAATCCGGGTGCCTTGCGGTGTGAATGTGAGCCGAAACTCCCACATTAGGCTTTCTTGGTTTCCCAGGTGTGCAGGCATCTCTGTCTGGCCAGTATGAAAGCTCCTTGCCTCCCTCTTTCTGCATACCAGTTTTTGCTCTTTTGTCATATTTCAAGGTCTATATTTGCCATTTGTCATGCTGTTTCCTTCGGCAGACTCTCTTATCTCACAAGGTAGTTTACACACTGTACAATAACAGTAAGAATAAGTAACTGTGGTATTTTTATTTATCTATTTATTTATTTTTCTCTTATTATTCTATTTCCCATAATACACACTGCACTGTCAGTAACAGTGGGCAGAAATAGTTTCATGTACATGACCACAGTGCCCTCCCTGGAGATGGCCCTCTCCCAGCCATGGTTGATGCCTGGTAAACCTAGTTTGCTGGTAAACCTTCCCTTGTGAAGGAGCCCCTTCCTGAGGTCCTGTGGAGTTGATCTCACTCCAGGTGCCTTGATTACTGGTTAAGTGACATCACCATCTCCCGATTCTCGGCAACAATTTCCCATGATAAGACTTTCACACCACCTGCCCCTTGGCCAAATATTTTTCTTGACAAGATGTCCATGTCACCTGGATCCAGTGAGCTAGGATAAAGAAAAAAGAAAGAGATAATACCCTTAAAATATATATCCCATAGATTTGTCCATGTATATCATATATGCACCTGGTTATTCACGATAGAGAGAGAGAAAAAATAATATGAAGCTATTAAATGAGAAATTTATTTCCCATCTAAGGTTAACAGAGGAGGAAGGTCTAAATTATATTATCCTTATATATTTTTTCTTTATTTCCAATTTATGGAATTCATGAAATGATAGAGGTTGCTCAATGTGGGTTTTGCATTTCTGTTCAGAGCAAATATTAATGATATTCTTTCTTCCTCTCTATTCATTTGTTCACTTGTGTGTACAGAGATGTATTACAACTCAATTCACATCTCTACAAAATGCATTACTACATAATTACTCATGAATCAGTTATGTTATTATCTTTATTGTGGCCTTAGACTTAGTAATTAGAAGTGTTCTTGTAAATCAAGAAAGGTATGTAGAGAAATGACTGCTGGAACTTAGTCTTGAGTTTTTCTAGTCAAAGGGAAAACTTTAGGAGTTATAGTTGGTTAGCTTGTGAATACTCTTTCGTAATTGCATGGTAATCCAGATGGAATTGTGCATTTTTTATACTGTTTGAGATTTCTTTGAAAAACATTATGCTGGGTTATTTATTGCTCTGGCTGTCAAATGGATACATTTTTCTTTGCTTTTCTTTGGAGGGGGGAGGGGAGCTTGGAAAGGAAAGTGACAACAACTGCTTTATTGGAAGCTTAAGTGGAAATGAAATATTTTGGGAAAGGGATAAAGAAATAACAGGTTTGAGCTTTGGGTTCTAACATAAGTAGCATCTCTAGGGTGCTAGTAACTGCTATGAAGAAAACAGGCTCACTTTAGGAGCTGATTGACATGTTTACAGATTCTTTAGTTGTTAGAAAAAGAAAGAAAGAAAAAAAGCAGAAGCAAACTTGGGAATGACACAATCACAGCAGCATGCCTAACACTACAGCATTACCACAGCAGCTACAGTTGTGGGGGATTTTTGGTGCATGTAGCTAAAACCCACTGGCAAAGGGTGCTGCTGCTGCTGCTGCAATATCTGCTGATTTTTTTTTTTTTTTTTTTTTTTTTTTTATTATATAACTGCAAAGAGCTTGGACTGAATACTGCATTCTAAAACCCCAGATGAGCTGATTCTTCTGTTTCTGTTTGAGTTTTAGAATTGACAATAAGAGAAATAGTTTACTATTAGTTATGATGTTTCCCCAATTTTTGATGAGCAGGGTTGTCATACCTGTGGTGTTGATGTGCTTTTTTGAAATGTTGCCATATACCTAATGTTTGGTCAGTTACACACTTAGATCTTTGCTATTGAGATTTTTTTCCTGGTTCCTCCTTATCAATAATTCATTAAAATACAAAACAAAAGAAAAGAAAAGATAAAGCAAGAGTTCTCAATAGGCTTTCTTCCTCCTTTAAACATATAAGTAAATGATGGCAACCATAACCTCACCTCAATCCCAACCCCTCTCCCCCCAGAAATAGGTATATATATTAATGAGTAAGATAATGGTAACCATGCCACCAGTTCTTCTCACTACACGGTAATGTCTCCTTCCTTTGCAG